AAGAGAGAAAACCCCCATCCCCCCCCCGCCTCCTGCTGCCCCTCACCCTTCTTTGGGGGTTTCTTGGTGGAGTTGAGTTGGCCGCTGACGTCCTGCAGCCGTTTCTCCAGCTCCCGTTTCTTTTCCAGCGCTAATTCTTCTTTCGTTTTCCCCACCGGCTTCTTCAGAGCTACAAAAATTAACGACAAGAATTCAAAATTCAGCAAAACAACTTTAAAAAACTTTAAATTTTGCTCAAAAAGCATCAATTTGAGGTTAGAATCCCCTCTGGTTACTTTCGCTGTAGGGTTTCCGCGGTTTCTTGCGCAGGCAGGAGAGGACGTAACGTTCCAGCTCCCGTAAAGTCGAGGGTTTCAAGGTCTCGAAGTCGATTTCGATCTCCTCGGGGTTGGAATCTCGCAGGGAAGGTTCCCGGGACTGGATGATGTGAACCACTCGACCCAATTTTTCCCCCGGTAATTTGTTGATATCCAAACTGAGCTGCCGTTTCTCGTCGTACGTCATGGGTTTGCTCTCCTCTTCCTCCTCCGAGTCGTAGAGCGGCGCCGGCGGAGGCGGTAACGAGGCTTTCGGGGCTTTCTTGGAATTCCTGGTCAATAAAAAGTCGTAATATTAATTTTTAACCAAAAAATTCAATTTTCTCACCCCAAAAATCCCCGCTGACAGGAATCGAGGTGACTCACTTGGAGCCGCCGCTGCCGCCACCCGTTTTCTTGGCTTTCCGCAGCTGGTTCTGCCGCGCTCGCGTTTCTTCGTCTCCTCCTCCTCCTCCTCCACGAATTTTATGTTTTTCTGATTTTTTCTTTTTCTTTTTTTCACGTTTCTTTTTAGGTTTGGAAACGGGGCCCTGCGAGAGGGCAGCCAACTGCTCGTGTACGGCCCGCAGCTGTAAAGGGGGGGAGACAGCGGGGTGAGGAAGAGGAGCGGATCCAAAAGGATGAAGATGATGAAGGGACGGATCCTTCTCCCCGGAATTCTCACCTGCTCCTGAAGTTCAGCCAAACGATTGGCTCGTTCCTCCTCCGAATCCGAACTCTCTTCGCTCTCCGAGGAGCTTTCGCTGCTGCTCTCGTCTTCGTCGTCGTCTTCATCGTCTTCATCGTCTTCATCCTCGTCGCTGGAAGATTCTTCGGAGGAGGATTTGGAGAGAGCGCCGGGGAGCGGGGCCGACACCGAAGGGGGGCTGGAGTCCTGGGGCTCATCCGGCATCTTGGCGTAGCTGAACTCAAAGACGTCCTGGGAGAGGGGAAGGTGACGAGTGTGAGACACAGACAGACACACTCACACACAGACACACTCACACACATGCACACTCACACACAGACACACGCACACAAGGGGACAACACGGGGGACGTTTGTCACCGCGTCACCCACCTGCAGCTTGCGGGCCATGGCCACCACGTCGTGGTCGGGCGGGTTGTACTTGTAGCAGTTGGAGAACATTAACCGGACGTCGGCGGCGAACTCCTGGGCGTCGTGATAATCCCGATTTTCCATCTTTCTCTACAAGATAAAACAATGAGAACAAACTCCTGGAAAAGGATAAAGAATATAAAAACCATCAAATTCCTCCCCAAAATGAACTCCTCCAGCTCCAAACCTTGATGGTGCTGAGATCCATGGGGTGTTTGATGATCTCGTGATAATCGTGGAGCCCCAGAGCCGAGGCGTCGACGGGTTTGTAGAAGGGCCAGGCGTAGGCCGCGTGTTTTTTCGACAGCAGCTCCTTCAGGATCCCGTTACAATATTTCAGCTGTTCCGACAACTTCCCCTTTTTCGACGTCTGGTGCTGCTGGGAATCGGGTAAATCCTTCCTGGGAGGTTTGATGGGCCGACCGCTCTCCCGCCGGGCCGGGATCTTCGCCGCTTTGGTCTCCAGCAAGGTGGCGGAAGGAGAAGACTCTCCGCTGGTGGCGATGATGGCGGTGGTGGTGGGGGTGGTGGTGTCGGCTTTTCGTTTGACGCCTTTCTTCTACCCCAAAAATCACATAAAAAGGGGAAAAAAACACCACAAACCAAAGCTCATGGGGTGAGGTT